TAACTGATAATAAATTAGTATAATTTTTATCTAATTATTAAACGGAAGATTAAAAAAAATCTTACTGGTGCTAATATGATGCAAATTTACCCTTTTATACTGATGTACAGATCATGCCTCATTTCCATATTTTATATAAAGGTAAATGCAATCAGTCTCAGGAATAGAAAATCATGAAAAAATGTAACTTTTCAAGTTCACAAGTGAAATGGAAACACACACACAATGACACAATGATAAGAATAGAAATTAATTATAATTAATTTGAATAAATTTGCAGATTCTTTTGTCTTATTAACAGGAAAGCTATTATAGTAATGCAAAAATCTTTTACATTTCTTTGTTCATAGAAACATAAGCCAGTAAAATGGGAAGATATGTATATATTTATTTAGCCTATCTTAGTCTACCAGAGGGATGTAATAGGGGATAACCCAGTGATGATTGAGCTCACCATCTATAATCTATTAGACTACTCTGCTAAATATCTCTCTGAGGCAGAAACAAAATTAGTCAGAATTGAGAATAAACAGCATACTAAAAATGTCAATAGTAACTTAATATTCATAGTAATAAAATAACGCTATAAACAATAATTATTTTCTTAAAAACTAAATGAAAAGATTTATGAAGTTTTTCAGATTTCAATTTCCTGTAAATATTTCCCTTATATAGAATGAGATGATATTAATTTTAAGAAGCTAAGTGTGAAAACGTTGAATTCTATGGGGATAACTGATATTAGAAATAAATAGAAAGCCGATATAATGTTCTTTAAATATTTTAATATTCGAAAATTATAGAGATTGCTTGAAATGTATGTCTAGTAAAGATGTCATTTGTACTGAATCTTAATGGTATTGTTGAAACATACATTTTCCAAAATAATTTTATAAAATATATTGTACAAAAACTGAATGCATTTAAAAAAATAAAATATAAAATATAGCAGTATTGTAAGAAGATATTGAAAAGAAAAAGTACAATATTAATAATAAAAAAAAAGAAATACGCTATCAGTCTGCAGAAAAAAATGGAAATCAAAGTAAATGTTAAAGTTAGATCACTGAAAAAAATAAGGATTAGTAAAATTTGTAAATGATACATTTTAAAAAATATTAGACCATACAGATAGGGACAGTATATTTTTTCAAGTACATAACATATGAATATATGTGTAAAGCATTCAATAATAGTAGTATGTAATAGAAGAAATTAATTACGGAGATAAGAAGGAACATATGATACAAGATAGAGAATGTAACAAAATTTACGAGTACAAAAAATATTACAAGTTTTGGTGAAAATTGATAGCAGTAGAATTATGTGTATATCTACCTGGACAAAACTGATCGAGTATTTTCTCCTCCAAAGCAGTGAGAGCTTGGAAGTCATCAACCACAAACATATTGTCAGAGATTGGTGGAGACGCAATCTGGCTCAATTCCGTGGTGTCCGCCAAACCAATACCAACTGCATAGATGTGAATGTTGTCAGCTCTAGCATTTTCAGCTTCAGGGACTGTTCTAAAAGCGTTTATATTTGAGACACCGTCCGTGAGAAGAATAGCAATGTTGGGAACTGAAGGTCTATCTCCATTCTGCTGCGTGAACATTTGCGTGCGCATAACGTTGAGTCCACCGTAAGTGTTCGTACTGCCATAGACATACGGAATGTTCTTTACCGCATCTATCATGTCTTGTTTTGTGCTATACTCATTCAGGTAGAATTGAATGTTTACATCCGTGCTATATATAAGAGCTCCAATACGCACGCTGCCGCTGTCGATATCAGCAGCGGATACGAAATGAACGATAAAATCTAACATTTTCTGAAAGTTTGGTGCAGTGACACTAGTTGAAGAATCCAAAATGAAGACGATGTCAGACTCAGCATGGCCACATCCACCTACAGAATACGGACATAACCTTTCACTCAAAATAAATTTTGACACGTAACATAAAAGACGAAGACAGAGTAATATCAAGCAGTAATTGCCTCTAAATTCGGAACACTTGTGTGTTTGCTCACCATAGAATTACACAGGAAAGGAATTTTCACACAAATGAATTAACAGTACTTCAGATACAAATCAGCCAATTGCCTTTATACACAACAAGAAACAGAAAACGAGAACTTCACGTGCAATAACAATTGTTATATTTCTGATGCTCAACGTATTACAATCAAAAACAAAGCAACCAGTGTTTGGAGACAGTTGACAATGACATAAATATCTATCACTGAATAACTTCTTGACAGAAATATTGGAGCAAAGTTTAAACACATTGTTACACGGTTTTACGGACAACAGAAGATATTTGGACATTTTGCTCAGAAAAAGAAAATAACCAGACGAGCTTAAAGTACAACGAGGTACAACAAATACAATTAAGCAAAGACACAAATGAATTAACAACACTTCAGATACAAATCAGCTAATTGCCTTTATATACAACAAGAAACAGAAAACGAGAACTTCACGTGCAATAACAATTGTTATATTTCTGATGCTCAACGTATTACAATCAAAAACAAAGCAACCAGTGTTTGGAGACAGTTGACAATGACAAATATCTATCATTGAATAACTTCTTGACAGAAATATTGGAGCAAAGTTTAAACACATTGTTACACGGTTTTACGGACAACAGAAGATATTTGGACATTTTGCTCAGAAAAAGAAAATAACCAGACGAGCTTAAAGTACAATGAGGTACAACAAATACAATTAAGCAAAGTACATTGTCGAAATAGAAGTAAGCACAAATGAAAGTTTGACTCGTCATATCTTATAAGTAGTATTCCTAAGATATTTATTATAAACTGTGAAGACAGATAGGACACGGAGTGTTGACAGAGACATAGAACAGATGTCTTACCCTTCGGTGGTAAAGGAACTGGTGTAGTGCTTGGAGCTGGAGAAGAAACAAAACATTAACATCCTGCAGAACCACAACATCAATTTTATAGTCATATCACCATTTACCGTAATTGCTTGTATCTATTAAAATATTTTATTCATAAATCGTTTAATTTACATGTACGTTATGTGTTGTCATATAGATAATTTAAGACAATAGCTAAGACTATTCACCAAGCTGTCAATGAATTTTTTTTCTTCGCGTGTTAAGAATATAGCTGTCAGTCAAAAATTAATGCCTATTAAAATTTAAATGTATGAGAACACATAACACGTTATTACTTCTGTTTCTACCTCTTTTCCTAATTCTATTTCAAAATGCCTGTCTCTCTGGACAGACGTACAAAGCAAAGAGCTATCATAGAATGTCTGTCTTTGAAATGAGAAAATTTTGAAAACATTCATTGAACTTGATGTGAGTACATTAAGGAGATGTTAAGTAGAATTAATCGCTATCCTTTAAAGAAGAAAATATCCTTCGTAACAGGACCCCCTGTAGCAGCTAATTTGCTGCTGTGAACGCGGATGCTCTCATTACAGCTGGCAGCAGAATCATTATTGAAAAACACTGGAAGCCTTTAGCCGAGCCAAGTTAATGTTGGTATATTATTACTGTCTGTTATCTACTGAAAAGTACGTGCAAAGTGACTTACCAGAATCCTAACAAACTCCCTAAAAAAACAAAATGTGTTTGCTGTCCAAGAGCTTCAGGAGATGCACAACATAGGCAGCATCTTCCTAACCTGGATAGTCCACCACTATTAACCAAAGAGCCAAATAATGGAATGGTACAAGGCACACTCTCCCAGAAAAATAATGTAAGGCAACACGCTCTGTAGGCAACGTGATGACTATTGTGTTTTTGAAGTAAGTCATATTTTTAAACTTTATTCCTAATGGCAATACATACTATCAAGTCTTATTTCTAAATGGGCACATTGTCAAACTTCAAAACAAAACTTCGAGCTAGGCTACATCTGATGATGGGTGATGTGCTTTTGTAACAAGCAATGCAATACATCATTTTAAAGCCCAAACAAGCAACCATTGCATGCGGTTGAACAACTTTGCATTATCCACCTACAGCCCTGACCTGGATCATTCAGTTCATCTGTTTGAGCTCGCCAATTATGATGAGATGAAAGAGACAAGAAAGCCTAAGAACGCTACTAAGCGGCGGGTATACATACCCTCATTTAGAGGTGGAATATCTCGATTGAGAAGAATGCAGAATATGGTAAGGATAAGATTTGAAATTCTGACATTGTTGCATTCATCTCGATATGCTTTATGTGCGTTTACTACTACGTCTATTGAAATTAAAGAAGTCATTAGATTTTTACCGAATCTTGTATGTTCATGTACTCATTATGAGAGAAAATCATAATTACTTGATAACTGTCTGTACTGACAGCAATTATCAGGGACTTATATAAATACATTAATAGTAAATAGAAAAACCTTCTTTTCAAGTACTGAATATTCCGTGTCCTATAATAGAGATATGGTACATGGTTAAGTGCCTGTTTGTTATATTCCTCATCCACTGAGGTGGATACCAGAATTGTTGGTGGGGATGTTATCTTTCTCTGAACTCCTTTATGGGGAAAAGTCAATAAAATCAGATTGTATTTTTTAAAGATGTCAATGTATTGCAACACACTTATATTATAATCAAAATGCGGACTTTACGGAAAAAAATATTGCGTTGATAATTATCTCATGAATCATGTTTCACTAATTTATTTTTTTATTTTTTGGCTAATATAATTTTAATTTTTAATTTTTAAATGTATGACAACAGACGTTATGAAAAGATTATTGTTTTAATTTCCTGGTTAGATTATGCGGAAATAACATCAATATACTTTTGCCTGATGACACTTCAGTAAGCAATTATTACGAAAAAAAAATATAGAGAATTTATAGACAAAATGTGTTCATCGGTTTATGAAGCTTTTAATGTTAAAACAATTTTGCAAAGCGGCAGACAAGTCGTTTTTCGAAATAAAGGTAGATTAATAAGAGGTTATATTATTAGTTTTGGCCAGGGGAAAGGGATTTATGGGTCAATTTGTTAAAACGAAATAACGAAAATAAAAAATTTGTGAAGTTTGATGAAGTTTGATGAAGAGAGAGAGAGAGAGAGTAATGGAGGAGAGCTGTAGCTTTCGTGCGTGAGTAGGCCAATAGACAAAAGTAGTAAAGTGGAGACAGCTATAGAAACTATAAAGATAAGAGGAAAACTGACAGAAATACAGAATGGAAGACATACAAAGAGAGGGGGGGCAACGAAAAAAGTGGGTCAGAAAAGGGGCATAAAACATAGGAAACCAAAATGGTAAAATGAGATTAAGAAGTTAGAATTGTCAGATAATTAAGTGTATTTATGAAAGAAATAAAAATGGATCATAAAAGTAACTACAATAATACGTATAGCTACCTGGACAAAACTGATCGAGTATTTTCTCCTCCAAAGCAGTGAGAGCTTGGAAGTCATCAACCACAAACATATTGTCAGAGATTGGTGGAGACGCAATCTGGCTCAATTCCGTGGTGTCCGCCAAACCAATACCAACTGCATAGATGTGAATGTTGTCAGCTCTAGCATTTTCAGCTTCAGGGACTGTTCTAAAAGCGTTTATATTTGAGACACCGTCCGTGAGAAGAATAGCAATGTTGGGAACTGAAGGTCTATCTCCATTCTGCTGCGTGAACATTTGCGTGCGCATAACGTTGAGTCCACCGTAAGTGTTCGTACTGCCATAGACATACGGAATGTTCTTTACCGCATCTATCATGTCTTGTTTTGTGCTATACTCATTCAGGTAGAATTGAATGTTTACATCCGTGCTATATATAAGAGCTCCAATACGCACGCTGCCGCTGTCGATATCAGCAGCGGATACGAAATGAACGATAAAATCTAACATTTTCTGAAAGTTTGGTGCAGTGACACTAGTTGAAGAATCCAAAATGAAGACGATGTCAGACTCAGCATGGCCACATCCACCTACAGAATACGGACATAACCTTTCACTCAAAATAAATTTTGACACATAACATAAACGACGAAGTCAGAGTAATATTAAGCAGTAATTTCTTCTAAATTCCTAACATTCGTGCGCTTGCTCATCATAGAATTAGAAAGAAAAATGATTACACATTAAATACAAATCAGTCAGTACTCGTTATATTGAAAGTGTCGGAAAATGAGAAATGCACTTACTTATAACGAATAATTCTTTCTGGTGTTCTACATATTACAAGTTAAAAAAATCAACAATATATTTGGAGACTTGATAATGACATAAATATATATCATTGAATGATCACTAGACAAAAAACTGGAGTAAAGTTTAAACACATTGCTAGACGGTTTTACGGACAACAGAAGATGTTTGAAAGTTTTCCTCAGAAATAGCTGAGACTGGGCGAGCGCAACACATAACGTGTCAAAGCAAATACATTTAAATAAATAACGTTGTCGAAATACAAATAAGAATAAAGAAATGTTCAAATGCATTATAACTAGAATTCATAAGACAATTATTACAAAATCTGAAGAATAAGATAAGACACGGACTGCTGACAGATACATTGATTGAACAGATGTCTTACCCTTTGGTGGTAAAGGAACTGGGAGCTGGAGAAGAAACAAAATATTAACATCCTGCAGAAGTACAATATCAAATTTCGAGCCATTTTTAACTGAATGTATCAAATTAACTTTTTCATAAATTGTTCAATATTGTTAAGTATTATCATATAGAGAAATTAAAAGAATAATCTAAGTGCATTCTCCGCATTGACCGCACACAGTTAATGCAGTTTTCATTTACTTAAGAACTATGTCTATAAGCATATGAATTATGAGGATGGTCTGTGGAATGGAAAGAAAAACAAATCAATGGAAACAATTTATTCATCACTGACAGAAATTATAGAGAGGTATATAAAAAAAGTATTCCAAATTGTTGTTATCAAGCATCAATCATATATTCTTTTCCAGTCAAAATGAGAAATATGAAACATGTTGAAATGTTTGTCATATTCTCCTTAGAGAAACGTTAGAGACATCTCACCTCTTGTGGTGGGCGCCAATGTTGTTGGTGGAAGTGTTGTTGTTCTCTGAATGCCTTCATAGGAAAAGAAAATTAAATCAGATAGTACTTTTGAAGTAGTGAAAAAATACTGCATACTTAAATCAAAATGCCCAATAGTGAAACATTATGCGTTGAGAATCTTTTGTTGATAAAGAAATGATATACTTTATTACTCGATATTAGGATAGGTCGATTTTTAAACTAGACTCTTGGACAGATCTAGATAGTTGAGGCATAAATGAGGTCATAAAACAGCACACAAAGTTTGTTACATTAAAATTTCGATTCTATTTGAGGAAATGTAATTAAAATCAAGGTAATTAATGTCTCTGAGATTGTTGCGGTGTTAACTGAAATAACTAACCAGACCGGATTATTCCATGCTAATAATAGTGAATGAATCTGTTTAAATCTGTGGTTTAATATTTCTGTAAAATACGGGAAAAGAAAAACATAAAATATTATATATATAATTTTTATAAGAAATAAGAGGATTTATAAATTTTACTTTAAAATAAATTATTTACGTGAAGGCAATAAAATGCAATATCGATGTATTCAATTTGAAATCGCAGGTTTAGAGAAGATCAATTAAAAACTATTTTTTTCGTTTATTTTTCTTTCCGAATGAAATTTTTTCACAATGAATTCAGTTCATTAATCATAAATCATAAACATGTCCTAATTTATTTTAAGTGATAGTTTTATTTTGGAGAAAAACTAAGACAAAAAACATCGATTTCACTTTTTATTTTTAATGAATTGAATTAAAAATTATGAATTTGGTTGGTGATTATTTGACTTTATACCGTTATAACCGCGTGCATTTTTTATTTATGCAGGTAGCTTTTAAGAAATATAAGGTAAAATAATATTAATTCCAAATTTTTTAAGTAAAATATAAATTGACACTGACAGTGTAGCTTAATTTAGTATTATTTCCAAGAGTAATATTTTCTCTTTTATTAAAATGTCTGAAGAAAAAAACGCAATATAGGTGAGACGTTTCCTCTAATCTTTGAGCATCTTTTGCTAATGCCTTTCTCTTGGATTTACAGGCTATGGGCCTTTTAAACCTAGGATTTGATTTAAAAAAAAACATTATAATTGACAAGTCAAAAACACAGAGAAAAGACTAGAATAAAAGTAATGACACATGAAAGACACTGAAGATATTAAAAAGGCTTGTTTAGGAGTTCATGGCAAGATTATAAAGAATCTTTGTTGTATAAAGAAGTTATAAGGGAATATAGTGACATTAAACTAAAAAAGAAAGGGATCCCAGAAAACCATTTAACATTTACTCAAGAGACAGGAACTGAGACTGGAAAATACCTGATTCATAGATTAGTTCCACTACAGGTACCACTGGTGTTGTTCTAACAGAAGAAGCTTTTAGTGTTTTGGAAAATTTGATAGTAAAGACAGCCTTAAGGTTGTTCTTCTGAACAAGGAAAATATAAATACTGGATGCAAGCACCACTGAAAATTACATACAATTGGCTGTCCAGTTCATCAGTATGAGCTAGCATTCAGAGTTATTTTTAAGTATGTTGATGGTTTAGCATTCTGCTACCACTTTCTTTTAACGTCAATTTTTGTACAAGCTAAGCACCAAAGTGAATCAAAAAGCCTTGATATTTCTGATTCCTGATTGGTCAATTAATGCCAATATCATTCTTTCGTCTACGTTCACACGGTTAAAATTAATTTACTGCCAAAAATCTGTCTATGTTTCGAGCCTATCACGTGACATACAACATTATAAATACTTAGCGATTTTTCTTTCTCTTTCTTGTCTTCTCACACCCACAGCAATGTAGTTCTTGGAAAGGTCGCGTTTTTTACTTTAGGGAAAAACGCTATGAAGACGCTATGACACACACACACACGCGCACATACGTACGTACGAACATTGCACATATCTGAACTCATCTCCTTAACTCCTTCAACTACAAGCAACAGACACTTATCAACTTCTAACAGTGAGCTTTGCGGCATCAAAGAATTCGTCAAACAAATTCACGCCGTTCAAATCTTTGAAGTTTTCTAAGTTTAGATTTTCCGAAACTTCGAATTCACACACTCACCAACAAACTACACTTCAATTTTAGCATCTACGATTTTTATCGAGACAACAAGAATTCTACTCAAAGAAAATACAGTTTGCCAAACAAACATTTTATTCAAAAAGTAACTTTGAACATTTCTTTCATTGAGACTGAACTTTATTTCATGAACTGAAATCTTTTATGTAAGTTCGGATAAAAAATATTTTCTCTTAAAAGATTTTAAGAATTTCCAGGTAAAGGTAAATAACTCTTGCTATTAATTACAACTCTTACTATATAAAAATCACACACTTGATTGTTTTGTATGTCATACAGTAAAATGAAGATTGTTATAATAAAAAAACAGTTTTTGTGTTGTTTCACTTGTTTCCCTTTTGTTTGCTGACACATTTGTAAAGTAAAAAATGTACGGATTGAATTGAGGATGTTCAAGCCGCTACAATGGTACAATAAGAAGTCCGACTGCTTTTACGGGCCCACAAGGTAAATTATGTGAAAGGGACTATCATGATTTGCCAAAAGTAGAATTTGTGAAAATCAGTGGCCCTATTCATACTAATGCTTAGAATTAATCAATCTATCTCAAGATTGAGTTTGTGAACCTGCAACCACTGAAAAATTTTCAGAAATTGGAATTCAAATATCTCTTATAAATAACACAAAATTAGAGTTGCCTGATTTTCCTTCACATTCTCAGAGTGTTGAAAGAGTAGTGAAATTAACATCTGAAGCTTCTCATGTTTTTACGGATTTGAAACAAGACATAGACACATTCTTGCAAAAATCTTATGTCGTCAACTAAGAACTTCTTTTGTTCTAAAGGCTCTTACACTGAATTTTTTGTTGATATGATTATGAAGAAATATTTGGATTTAAATAGTTTTCATGTAATATAAAATGTATTTATTAAACTGACAAACTTTTTGATTTACTATTGAAATAATAACATTTTTCAATCAAATATTGCCAAAATGAATGGCTTAACGCATTTTCAATGCCGATATTTGATTGCATTTCCTCAAAAGTGGTTTAAGGCTAGGAATCTAAAATTTGGTGTGAGTTTTTATCTCATTAAGTTCAAACTATCTAGACTTGTCCAAAGTTGATTTGGGGAAAAAAGTGAAAAAATCACCTACCGTATTTTATAAAATCACAGGAATTTAATTTTTCCATGTATCTAAACAGGTTTTGCAGGAAGATGACTATTTGTATATATGTATTAGATTAAGAGGAAGATATAGACAATATACGCGAGCCATCTGACACTTCAGTAAGCAATTGAATTTAATAAGAATTTATAGGCAAAATGATTTAATTGATTAATGAAGCTTTTCGTATTCGGCAAGTTATACACAATGATATTTCACAAGTGTTTCAAACGTACGATACATTAACATAAAATATGAATAGTGTTGGCCACGATAACGGGATTTACAGGTTAGTTTGTTAAAGATATAGTACGTAAACGAAGTAAAGAAAATAAAACATTTACAAAGTTTCATGAGATAGAGAAATGGAGGATAGTAGTAACTGTTCTGCTTGAGCAAGTCAAAAGGGTCAAGTGTCAAAGAAGAGATGACTGTAGGAATTTTAAATATAAACGGGAAAAGAGTTTACAGAGAGAGAGTGAGAGAGAGAGAGAGAGAAAGAGAGAGGGGGAGAGGCAGGGAGTGCAAGAGAAAATGAGAAACTGCGATATAAAGTGACACAGGGAACCAAGATGGAAAGAAGGAAATAAGTGACTAGAATTTTCAGATAAGTTAGACTAGAGAGTATTTGTGAAAGAAACAAAAAGAATTCGAAAAATATCTACAATAATAGGTAATAGCTACCTGGACAAAACTGATCGAGAATTTTCTCTTTCAAAACAGATAGTGCTTGGAAGTCATCAACCACAAACATATTGTCAGAGATTGGTGGAGACGCAATCTGGCTCAATTCCGTGGTGTCCGCCAAACCAATACCAACTGCATAGATGTGAATGTTGTCAGCTCTAGCATTTTCAGCTTCAGGGACTGTTCTAAAAGCGTTTATATTTGAGACACCGTCCGTGAGAAGAATAGCAATGTTGGGAACTGAAGGTCTATCTCCATTCTGCTGCGTGAACATTTGCGTGCGCATAACGTTGAGTCCACCGTAAGTGTTCGTACTGCCATAGACATACGGAATGTTCTTTACCGCATCTATCATGTCTTGTTTTGTGCTATACTCATTCAGGTAGAATTGAATGTTTACATCCGTGCTATATATAAGAGCACCAATACGCACGCTGCCGCTGTCGATATCAGCAGCGGATACGAAGTAAACGATAAAATCTAGCATTTTCTGAAAGTTTGGTGCAGTAACACTAGTTGAAGAATCCAAAATGAAAACGATGTCAGACTCAGCTTGGCCACATCCACCTACAGAATACGGACATAACCTTTCACTCAAGCAAGATAAATGTTTGTAAACGGCAAAGATACAATAATATTATAAATATACAAAAAAATGAAACACGAATTTCCGTTCAGAACTTTGACGAATTTTTTACTTATCAGATTTTATCAGCAAACAACAGTTTACGAAAACGCGTTGACAGTATATTAAATACAAAACAACCAATTGTTTTATTATAAAACGGAAAACATAAAAGATGAACGTCACACAATAGTAAATGAAATATTTCTTGGATCCAACGTATTACAAATAAAGACAAATTAGAACGATGTTTGGAGACAGTTTATATTTTAAAATGGAACAAATACCTATCCTTAAAGTAAACGCTAGACAGAAACATTGCACAAAGTATATGAAAACATTGTTAGAAGGCTGTTCGAATAGCAGAAAATGTTGTTAAGACGCTTTTCTCGTAAACAAACAAACAAACAAAAAAACAAAAAAACAAAAACAAAAAACGATGAAATTCCGAAATATAGCGAGACAGGACAAATACAATTTTAAGTAAATGATTTTCTTGAAATACAAATATACATAAAGTAATGTTCAAATAGACATGTCGTTATAAGTAGTATTCATGAGACAATTATTACAAATTTTGAAGATGAGATAAGACACGGACTGTTGACAGATACATTGATTGAACAGATGTCTTACCCTTTGGTGGTAAAGGAACTGGTGTAGTTCTGGGAGCTGGAGAAGAAACAAAATATTAACAACCTGCACAATATCAAATTTTGAGCCATGTCACTATATACTCTAACTACATGTATCAAATTAACCTTTTTCATAAATCGTTCAATTTACATGTTAGGTATTAATTATCATATAGCGAAATTAAAAGAATAATCTAAGTCCATTCTCCGCATTGACCGCTCACAGTTTGAGTTAATGCAGTTTTTATTTTACGTACCTCCACAGAAACGCAATACCTAAGGTTTCTTTAAAACAAAAGTTTCAAAATAAAAAACAAACAAACCCTTTCTTGATGCTGTTAGGTCAATTTTACTTTCAAGCTAGATTAAATTTAATATTTTCAGTAAGCAACATACATTGCTGCATTTCAAGACTAACTTAAACTGACTGGAAGTAGTTTTCCTTTCGAAATTGCTAAACATCGTCATTTTTTTTTAGCTATTTTTCATCACAATGCAATAGTCTTTATTTTAAAAAAATCTTTCAAAAATAAAATGTACTCTCCTGAAACTTCATTTGAGGAATATTAGCTGATTTAAATTTTAATTAATCGGATTTGAAACAAATATTATTACTTACCTTATGATGTTTAAAATATCCCAGAAGTGCGTTTTTTACACGGTGGTAAGGTATTGAGTGGTTGATAGCTTGACTGACGGAAATCGATCTAATTTTTTCTACCGTGAACATATCTGTTAAATTTACTTGATGAATATAACATAAGCACTTAATTTTAACTACCCTGTAATCTTAAAAATTTAGGAAAATATTCGTAATCTAATGATTTATTGAAGAATTTTGACTTTATTTACTATAGTTACCGATTTTATTTTCTAATAATGTCGTAAATGGAAATCAGTATTTACAAAAAAATCGACACATTTATGCACACACACACAAAAAATCAAAATTATTTTAAAAGTATTGTGGATCGATGATTTGTACTAAGCTTTTTCGATTTATGATTAGTAAGTATAGTTTCTACTTGATAACAATATCACTTAACCTCTGCGAAATAAGACAGAATTTTAAAAGATTTAAAACTTTATAAATTATTATAATTAAATTTAAAAAAATGAAAACAATTCTTGTAAAAATTCATTATTCATCGAAAATGTTTTCTTAAGACAGTAGTGTCCATAATATGTTTTATTCGTATAAGCCATAAAAAAGCTTTTCTAATTAATTACATTATGTCTTAGTTTTATTGAATTTTTGTTATTTTATGATGCAGAGCAGATTGTCAATAACTGGGGGTCCTGTTTTACATAAACCGACGATTTAAATTTTCCAAAATTTTCAAGGACGTCTACTTTTAACTAATATAAACATTAAGATCTGCACTATTTAATTTCTCGAAATTTCATGAAATTAGATAAGTGGGAGGGGGTAAAAGATGTAAAAAATATTTTTACCAAATTTAAGAAAAAAAAAAAAAAAAATTTTTTTCAAAAATACTTTCATTCATTTGTGAATAAGTCCTGAACGTTTAAAGTCGACAATTTTTTTATAAGTTTGAACGTTGAAATCCGATAATTATTTGATTTTTGCAAGAATCAATGTGTTTTTCACCACAAGAAAGATGCAAAAATTTATTATACAAATCTTTGTCTCCCACCCCTGCTACCGCAAAAAAGATGTTTTAATCAAAATTTCGAACATTATAAAAAGGATAAAAAAATATATATATAATCAAAAAATCATATATATAATCAAAAAATCCTTTAGTCTTACTCTTAATAATTACATAAAGATTTTAACGATAAAAATTTGTTTTATTGTATTTGGGGATTTTTTTTTTTATCATGTTATGCTAAATAATTTAGCGAATCAGTGGAGGTATTTACTTTATTTATATAACTTATGTGCACATATGCATTATGAGAATAGCATGTGGAAAGAAAAACAGGTCAATGTAAATAATAATTCTCCTGTCATCATTGGCAACAATTATCAGAGAAGTATACAAATATTTTAAGAGCAAATACAAAAGTATTCCAATTTTTTGTAATCAAGCATTGTGTATTCTTTCCCAGTCATAATGAGAAATATGAAACATGTTGAAATGCTTGTTTGTTATATTCTCCATAGAGAAACGTTAGAGACATCTCACCTCTTGTGGTGGGCGCCAATGTTGTTGGTGGAAGTGTTGTTGTTCTTTGAATGCCTTCATAGGAAAAGAATATTAAATCAGATTGTATTTTTGGAGTTATGAAAAAATACTGCGCACATATGTTTAAATCAAAATGTAAAATTTACGGAAACATTATATGGTAAGAAACGTTTGCTGATAAGGAAATCATTTCTATTACTCGATGTAATAGCAAACTTTTAATTCTTCTCTGTATCGACACAGGCTGTGTAAGAAGATGACTATTTGCATGTATGCATTAGTTTAAGAGGAAGAAGTAGACAATATACGCGATCCATCTGACACTTCAGTAAGCAATTGAATTTAATAAGAATTTATAGGCAAAATGATTTAATTGATTAATGAAGCTTTTCGTATTCGGCAAGTTATACACAATGATATTTTACAAGTGTTTCAAACGTACGATACATTAACATAAAATATGAATAGTGTTGGCCACGATAACGGGATTTACAGGTTAGTTTGTTAAAGATATAGTACGTAAACGAAGTAAAGAAAATAAAACATTTACAAAGTTTCATGAGATAGAGAATGGAGGATAGTAGTAACTGTTCTGCTTGAGCAAGTCAAAAGGGTCAAGTGTCAAAGAAAAGATGACTGTAGGAATTTTAAATATAAACAGGAAAAAGAGTTTACAGAGAGAGAGAGAGAGAGAGAGAGAGAAAGAGAGAGGGGGAGAGGCAGGGAGTGCAAGAGAAAATGAGAAACTGCGATATAAAGTGACACAGGGAACCAAGATGGAAAGAAGGAAATAAGTGACTAGAATTTTCAGATAAGTTAGACTAGAGAGTATTTGTGAAAGAAACAAAAAGAATTCGAAAAATATCTACAATAATAGGTAATAGCTACCTGGACAAAACTGATCGAGAATTTTCTCTTTCAAAACAGATAGTGCTTGGAAGTCATCAACCACAAACATATTGTCAGAGATTGGTGGAGACGCAATCTGGCTCAATTCCGTGGTGTCCGCCAAACCAATACCAACTGCATAGATGTGAATGTTGTCAGCTCTAGCATTTTCAGCTTCAGGGACTGTTCTAAAAGCGTTTATATTTGAGACACCGTCCGTGAGAAGAATAGCAATGTTGGGAACTGAAGGTCTATCTCCATTCTGCTGCGTGAACATTTGCGTGCGCATAACGTTGAGTCCACCGTAAGTGTTCGTACTGCCATAGACATACGGAATGTTCTTTACTGCATCTATCATGTCTTGTTTTGTGCTATACTCATTCAGGTAGAATTGAATGTTTACATCCGTGCTATATATAAGAGCACCAATACGCACGCTGCCGCTGTCGATATCAGCAGCGGATACGAAGTAAACGATAAAAATCTAGCATTTTCTGAAAGTTTGGTGCAGTAACACTAGTTGAAGAATCCAAAATGAAAACGATGTCAGACTCAGCTTGGCCACATCCACCTACAGAATACGGACATAACCTTTCACTCAAGCAAGATAAATGTTTGTAAACGGCAAAGATACAATAATATTATAAATATACAAAAAAATGAAACACGAATTTCCGTTCAGAACTTTGACGAATTTTTTACTTATCAGATTTTATCAGCAAACAACAGTTTACGAAAACGCGTTGACAGTATATTAAATACAAAACAACCAATTGTTTTATTATAAAACGGAAAACATAAAAGATGAACGTCACACAATAGTAAATGAAATATTTCTTGGATCCAACGTATTACAAATAAAGACAAATTAGAACGATGTTTGGAGACAGTTTATATTTTAAAAATGGAACAAATACCTATCCTTAAAGTAAACGCTAGACAGAAACATTGCACAAAGTATGAAAACATTGTTAGAAGGCTGTTCGAATAGCAGAAAATGTTGTTAAGACGCTTTTCTCGTAAACAAACAAACAAACAAAAAAACAAAAAAACAAAAACAAAAAACGATGAAATTCCGAAATATAGCGAGACAGGACAAATACAATTTTAAGTAAATGATTTTCTTGAAATACAAATATACATAAAGTAATGTTCAAATAGACATGTCGTTATAAGTAGTATTCATGAGACAATTATTACAAATTTTGAAGATGAGATAAGACACGGACTGTTGACAGATACATTGATTGAACAGATGTCTTACCCTTTGGTGGTAAAGGAACTGGTGTAGTTCTGGGAGCTGGAGAAGAAACAAAATATTAACAACCTGCAGAAGCACAATATCAAATTTCGAGCCACTAACTACATGTATCAAATTAACCTTTTCCATAAATCGTTCAATTTACATGTTAGGTATTATCATATAGCGAAATTAAAAGAATAATCTAAGTCCATTCTCTGCATTGACCGCTCACAGTTAAATTTTTAATGCAGTCTTTATTTACTTTAACTATATCTATAAGCATATATGCATTATGAAAATGGCTTGTGGAAAAAAAACCAAGGCAATGGAAATAATTTATCTACTGTCATCATTGAGAGCAATTATAAGAGAGGTATACAAATACAAAAGTATTCCAAATTGTTGTTATCGAACATCAATCATATATTCTTTTCCAATCATAATGAGAAATATGAAACATATTGAAATTCTTGTTTGTCATATTTTCCATAGAGAAACGTTAGAGACATCTCACCTCTTGGTGGGCGTCAATGTTGTTGGTGGCAGTGTAGTTCTCTAAATGCCTTTGTTATAGACAAGTGTATGGTTGCAAGAAAGAAATACGACAACAGTAGAAATAGATTTACGTGGTTTATTTCAACAGGAACGTGAGGGTTTGGGACAGCTACCTTGTGGTAAAGTTCATAAGCCGGCTTTCGGATCTGGTTGATCTCTCATAGTAGTTCACACATGTTGACGGTGGTTGATGCTCCCCTGCTGCTGATCGCTCGGCCTGACCGTCGGGTCTGTTCACTGGCCACCTGTTGACTGCCTGTTGAATTTCCGTGTGACCCCTTTTATAGCGTTTTTTTTATGGCTTAACAGGCTCGAGAAACGAAGCGAGTATAATTAGGAGGGAAGCATTTTTATTGGACGAAAAATAGAGCACTTTAAATATTATTTTATTTTTCGACCGGAACACGTGTGTCGGAAACATTTGTAAAGAAAGATAATGGTCATTTTGTAGACGGGGCTTTGTCCCGTTCACATCCTGTTCTCGCTCTTGAGTATTTGCCTGTAAATCAGCCGAGATATGTCTTATTTTATTTTATAACACCTTTATAGGAAAAGAGTATTAAATCAGATTGTATTCTTAGTGTCATGAAAAATACTGTGCACTAATATTTAAATCAAAATGTGCAATTTACGAAAGTGTTATATGTTAAGAATCGTTTCTTGATAAGGAAATCGTTTCTGTTACTTGATGTGTATGTGTGTGTGTGATGCGGCATTCACCCTGGGCGGATTGAGCCGGCTTCTTCCTGTTGTGAGAAGATTCTTGGGATAAATTACAGAAGTAGGGTACCCAGGCCTACTCGGATAACGTTCTTGCTTGCCGCGGGGTTCCCACAGACGCAGAGACAGGAACGACCAGAAGCCGCCGGTTGCCGATGCAGACGCTCCTTGGATTTTCACCAGAGCCCTTGTTAGCCGACGTGTATGTCAGACCTGTCCGCCTTGGGTGGCCCTACCAGGAACGAAGTTCCGGACCGCATAGCTCTGACACTACCGTTTACACCCCCACCACACACCGACTGTGAGGTAAGGGTTGGACCTTGGGGGCTTACAGTACCAGGTGTTCCCAAGCGGTTCCCCATCTAAGTACTGACCTGGCTCTACGATGCTCAACTTCGGTGATCGAACGAGAACCGGTGTTTTCAGCGCGATTTGACCGTATGTTACTTGATGTAATCGCAGGCTTTTAATTTTTCCCTGTATTGAAACAGGCGGTGGAAAAAGATGACAATTTGCATATACATGTTAGTTAGCTTAAGAGGAAGACATCGACAATATACGTTAGCTTAAATAAGCAATTACTTGAAAGAATGATTGAGAATTTATAAGCAAAATGATTTATTAAAGCTTTTAGTGTTAGGTTAATCACAATTACTTCTGACAAAAATTTTTTTTTTCTAAATTTACGATAGATCAAATATTATGATTTGTCTTCGTCTGGTGAACGGGTTTTATGTGTCAGTATTTTAAAGATCCATAAAGAAAAGGTAATGAACAAAATAAAACGTTTTATGTAGTTTGATGACGAGGAAAAGAATTAGAGAAGAGCTATAGATGATCTGTATGTGTCGACCAACATACGTAAATCGTATGGAAGAGACATCTATAAGATCGATAAAAGAGAGACAAAAGCAACTACCGATGTAGAGAGAGGAGGAAGTGGGGGTGGGAGAGAGAGAGAAAGAGAAAAAGAGAGAGTGAAGAATCATAATATGAGAAAATAGTGGCAAATGATTAAATTTGTCATATAATTTAAGAAATATGTGAATAAAAAAAAAACAGAAAAAGGATCGCAAAATGTATGTACAAAAATGCGAATAGCTACCTGGACAAAACTGATCGAGTATTTTCTTCTCCAAAGCACTGAGAGCTTGAAAGTCATCAACCACAAACATATTGTCAGAGATTGGTGGAGACGCAATCTGGCTCAATTCCGTGGTGTCCGCCAAACCAATACCAACTGCATAGATGTGAATGTTGTCAGCTCTAGCATTTTCAGCTTCAGGGACTGTTCTAAAAGCGTTTATATTTGAGACACCGTCCGTGAGAAGAATAGCAATGTTGGGAACTGAAGGTCTATCTCCATTCTGCTGCGTGAACATTTGCGTGCGCATAACGTTGAGTCCACCGTAAGTGTTCGTACTGCCATAGACATACGGAATGTTCTTTACCGCATCTATCATGTCTTGTTTTGTGCTATACTCATTCAGGTAGAATTGAATGTTTATATCCGTGCTATATATAAGAGCACCAATACGCACGCTGCCGCTGTCGATATCAGCAGCGGATACGAAATGAACAATAAAATCTAGCATTTTCTGAAAGTTTGGTGCAGTAACACTAGTTGAAGAATCCAAAATGAAGACGATGTCAGACTCAGCATGGCCACATCCACCTACAGAATACGGACATAACCTTTCACTCAGGATAAATGCTTGATACACAACATAAACGATGAAGACAGAAAGAGTATTAAAATGCAATGACTTTATCTGCCTATGTTCGGAACGTTGACGAATTTGCTCAACATAGAATTACACAGGAAAAAAAGTTTCACAAAAACATTTTGACAGCACGTTAGATACAAATCAGTCAATCGTTGTCAGCCAACAGGATAGAGCATAGGTGAATCTCATAGGAAATGATCTGATTCTGATGTTCAACGTGTTACAAATAGAGGACAAAGGAATACGAAATTTGGAGACATTTGCGAATGACATAAACACCCAAAATTGCTTGACAGAGACATTGGATTAAAGTTCAGAGTGAGACGATTGTTTGGACAAGAAAGATATTTGGACATTTTTCTCAGAAACAGACAGAAGAAACCAGACGAGCGCAAAGTATAACAAGGCATAACAAACCAAGACAAGCAAGGAACGTTTTCGAAATAAAACTAAACATATAGAAATGTTCAAATAGACATGAGTAACATTCATAACATAAGAATAAGATTTAAGAATAAGATTCATAACAATTATTACAAAACATGAAGTCGGTTCTAAGTTGCCATATGAATAGTGTTATTTATACATTGTATATATATATATATATATATATATATATATATATATATATATATATATATATATATATATATATATATATGTATATTTATATAATCCTTCCTTTATGCATGTTTCATTAAAAACGACAGACAAGGTACTACGGTTGAGCTTTTTATTTAATTTTTCTTGTGTTCTGACAAAGAGCTTTCTTTTCTGGACAAAAGAGTGTAAGAACTGTCCGAATGTTCTGTATTTCCGAGCGCTTTCGGCTATACCTTTAGCCATTATCAAGGATGATTCAATTATCAGCTTATCAGTATTCGGAAACTAAAAACATCACTACCACACACTGAACATACACAGAACACACACACTCTGCTAAGCTGATAATTGAATCATCCTTGATAATAGCTAAAGGTATAGCCGAAAGCACTCGGAAATACAGAACATTCGGACAGTTCTTACACACTCTTTGTCCAGAAAAGAAAGCTCTTGTCAGAACACAAGAAAAATTAAATAAAAAGCTCAACCGTAGTACCTTGTCTGTCGTTTTTAATGAAACATGCATATATATATATATATATATATGTATATATATATATATATTCACATATGATTTACATGGTTTTTTTTAATTTTAGTCTCTCATAGAAATATTTTTCTCTAACATTTATAGCATTTTCCTCATATTTTTTAAATCACTAAAACAAGAAATTAAATATTATTAAATTTTATAGTAGACTACATGAGGTGAAGCTACAGGCTTGGAAAATCATTTTTAAAATAAGATATTCCATGTTTTTTTTTAATTTGGTTTATTTAATAATTCATAAATATTAAATCATTAAATATTAAATTTTCATCATCAGTGTTCTAAATCTGACCTTAGCATCTAATTTCTGTAGAAAAAATCTATTGAATAATTGATTTCTTTCATAGTGTTGACAATCAAAATGTAGCACAAATAATATTCTCTTACTATTTTTAAAGATTTTTCATAAGGAACAAAGAAATGTAGTGGATAATTAAAGTTTAATATAATAAAAGGATTCTTTAAAAAAATTAAGTCATTGTTTTGATGTAAAATTATTTCTATATACTGATAATCTTTCTTAGAAAATTTTCAAGGTTTGTTTGTACTTGTTGAACAAGAAATACACCCAAATTAAACAAACAATACCAAAACCTTACCAACAACTGGTGGAGCTTGGGTGTGAACTGGTACTGTGAAGTAAAAATACTGTATATTAGAAATGTTTAGAAGTGATGATTGCATTAAAATTTATAATGCAGCACTTACAAAGAAACTAACAGAAAATAAAACATATCAACAAAATTTTAAACATGAAAGGTTCTGTCATAGAAACACGAGAAGTACTATTATTATACAAAGAAATATCAGAAAATGAGACATTGCCAGTTAAATATTTGTAAATCTTAAAATATTTTCACAAATTTAAATTTAAAAAAGCTATCATGAAATGAATAAAATGACTAAAACTTTTCATGAATTCTCTTTGTCAATAAACAGATGAATGACATTATTTTTAATATCCTCAAGAACTATTATATAGAAGAACGAAACAGTATTTTCAAATCAACATTAATCAGTGTCTTATTTATTTGACAGGGAATTTTGTCACAGCTTCCTAGTGGTAATAAAAACTGGAAAAATGTTCAAGATAAATATAACTTTTAAGATATTGGCTAGAAACAAAAAATGTATTTTAACATCAAAGTTTAGTCAGAAACAGTCACTTCTATATTAGGAAAATACCTGACTCCAAATAAATTAAACAGAGATAAAATTACAAAACAATTTCATTGATGAACCAAAAGTATGACAAAAATTATACATTTAATATAATTACATGACATTTAAGTTTCATGTATAATTGATAAACATTTTATCTCACATATGATGCCAGCAAATAAGCAACAGAAATAATGACATGATCACTCTTGAAATATTAAACAATAACAAAATATAAACTAGGAACAGGTAATATCTATTTTATGAACCACAAACATATAGACAAAGTTAGTCACTAAAAGATAACATTGAAAATACAATCATTTTTTTCATTTTATTGTCTTCATTCTTTAACTTTCTGATAAATCTTTCATCAAGTTTTTCACAAAATATTTGTTGAAAGACATACCTAATACAAGACAGTTCTGATACAATGACAGAGCTTCAAATACACTTATACAAAAATACACTATGTTAAGTTTTATTATGCATGCCAGTGTTTTCCCAACAAAATTAGTACTGAACACTCTATGCTGGTAAAAGTTTAAGGAGATATTTATATTTATATGATAAATATATGTGAATTTCAGCATATGATAGTGTTTTAATTAGTAATATTTACAATAACTTATTTCATGGTTTAAAATGTTATGCAACTCAAAAGTATTTTATCATATTGTAAATAAATATATATAATAGTATAGGTATTAATATTTACTTTTTAATTTCATCTATATAAAGATTAGTATGAGTCATAAGAAAGATATAAACTCAATAGGGTAATGTGATCTTATGAAGATATTTAGCAAAGGAGACATAACTTTGGAAACTGAAAAAGTTTAACAAAGATCAGAGAACAATCATAAAGGAAATTAGAAACATTGAAAAAATACAAAAAATGAAAGAAATGTTTTTAAGATTGTTACAAAAAGAGATTTGAGAAAAACTAAATTGGTACTAAACAAGAAAAGCCAGAAAAGATTTGAATAAACTGGTGTTGTGAATTTAAAGAGAAAATAAGCAGAATATTACAAACATTGACTAAAGACATGAAAGCAACCACCTCTAAATAAACATCATATAGAGAAACATGTAAGTTGAGCAAAACATAAATAAAAACTGTTTTCTCAACAGTGATTTTTAATTAAAAATGATACCAGGATTCATTATTGGCAGCCACAGTCTTAACAACATAAGATATACAGATGATACAGTGTTGATAGCAGATATGGAAAGAAAACTACAAAAACTCCTACAGAATGTAATGAATGAAAGTGAGAAGAAAGGATTAAACATCAACTGCAAGAAGACAGAATACATAGTTGTTAGTAAAAGGATGAGCCCAAAATGCAAATTACAAATCAGAGATATCAAACAAGTACATAATTTAAATATCTGAGAAGTGTTTTAACAGATGATAGAAAGTGTGACATGGAAACCTGAAGACACATAGTCAAAGATACATTCAAAAAGATAAGAGGAGTATTAAGAAAAAGAAAAAAAATCATTAGAAACAAAGAAAAGAGTACTGAACTATTACATGATATCAGTCCTCCTATATGGTAGTGAATGCTGGACACTCTCCTCAAAGATGAAAAAGACTTGAAGCAGCAGAAATCTGGTTTTACAGATAATTGCTGAAGATACCATGAACCGAACATATCAGCAATGATCAAGTTTTAGAGAAAATGGAAACAAAAAGAGAATTTATATTTAACATCGAGATTGTTGACATTTCTATGGGCACATCATGAGGAAAGAGTGCTCAGAAAATCTCATACTCACAGGACAGATTTTATGCAAGTGGGACAGAGGAAAACAATGTATAACACTTAGTAAGCTAGAGTATATGGATAGTGGAACAAAGTTTAGAAGAAATAACAAAAAGACAAAATCTATTAAGAGCTATGATGGACAGGAAATTGTGGAGAGCCATAATCACCTACATCTTGAAGGGACATAGCTTTGTGCTTTCATGGAAACTATCAGACAACCCAACTTAGAAGACAACACACTGGAGATGAAAAAAATGTTTTGGGATAGTATTGCAGGCAATAATATTATAGGCCTTTTTCAAAGGTGATGATGATTGTGGCAAGATAAATGCATAAAATTATTGCAAGTCCTTAGACAAGGCATTTTTGATTGGTACAAGCCACAACTAAGAAAAATAAAGAAGAAAAAATTAAAGAGTATATTCCCATCCTGCAAAGCTGACTATTACCCACTTTGTCAAAGAATATTTCAAAGAT